GATTCGGCGATTAAGGACAGTGCGATTACACCCCCTCCCTCCAGAGATGAAAGGCTTGACACCTGCTGTAACTAACTGACGACGTGCCTGTCTATCTGGAGTCTTACATCCTAATTTATAGAACCGGGCAACTGGTTTTAGACGTCAATAGTTATATTATGCAACTGAAATAGGTGATTTATGAATCGGTTATCCTGGAATAATGCCCTCATCAGTGTTATGTAGCTATGCGGATCATAGATTTCGTACAGAAAGCAATATGGATGGAATAGTTCTGTCTTCTTGTATTTTCATGTATTACTTATTATGCATTTTATGATAAAAAGCCAGATAAAAACTTTTTCCTCCTGTAAGTAAAATTATAACACTTTCATTTTCAAATTAAATATATTCAAGATGAATAATAAGTCAACAAATAGCAAGTGGCAGGCATTTTGACCTTATTAACAGTTTGCCATAATGTGCTTCAGTACAGTCTCCTTACATCGCCCCTTCCAGAATATTTTAATTGTTGGCTTTTAGAACTTTTAGTCTCTTTTGCTCTGTTTGTGTGTGTGTGTGTGTGTGTGTGTGTGTGTTTTACAACAGACGGCACCAGTTTGCTGTGCAAGGAAGAGGAGGAGCTGGAGGAAGTGGAAGATGTGGAACACTGTTGTCATGGAAACCCAGAGGAGGAGAGTGGGGAGAACTTGGTGGTAGTCGTGGTGGAGGAGGAGGAACATGAAGAGGAGGAGAGAGAAGCAGAGGATGGCAGGGCTGAGCACAGAGACGAGGAGGCGACAGGAGCGGGAGAGGAGCCGTCACCTGTGCCCCCCGCCACTCACGAGGACCTGGGGGCGCTGATGAGGGGGGAGCCAGAGGCTCCCGTCGGCATGACAACGGTATGCGAACAGGCAGATGCAGAGTTACTGCTGAGCTGCTCGTCACCCCCAGAGCACACGGGGGGCTTGCTGTGTGCCGGGGGCCTGCCCATCTCCCCCAGGGGGCCTCAGGGGTCCCACCCGTTAAAGCGGTCCTATGAGGATGGGAGCCCCACCCTGCAGGTCCAGGCACCCCTACTTTCAGAGCTGGACCCCGACACTCTCAAAGTACCCAAGGTGGCGAGTCTGGACGAACTGCAGCCCCTGCAGGTGAACTTCACGCAGGTCTACCCCACGCGCCACTACACACGGTACGCTGCCCGCGGCCGCGGTGCCTTCCTGCAGTACCCGGCAGTACCTGTGGTGGGCACTGTGGGGGAGGCTGCTGAGCCAGTCATGCCCCCTGGACCAAAGAAGAAAACGCGCACCCTCTACACCACTGGTAAGCCATACATAGAATCCATATGAAAAGCGCACACTGCCCCACTCACGACAGCCCCAGTCTTAGTTAAATCCCTCTAAACTTAGCAGAGCATTTAAGAGCTGGACTGGCAGCTGGACACATCACTGGACTGGCAGCTGGACACATCACTGGACTGGCAGCCTGCTTCTCCCTACTGCTGCCTTACTAGTCTGTCCACCTGCCTGTTTCCTTCTCCTGCACCTGTCTGTCTGGGCTACTCACTTATTTTCTAGTTCTACTTGTAAATTCACTTTTCTTTATTCAGTCTCTACATAAATCTATCCTGCATTTGTCAGTCCTCTTTCCGAGACTCTGTCCCCTCAGGCGGACCCCTCTTTGTGTCCCTCTGTCCCCTCAGGCGGGTCCCTCTGTGTTTCTCTGTGTCTGTGTGTCCCACAAGTGTCTCTGTCTTTCCCGTTTTCTCAGACCAGCTGGAGGAACTGGAGCGCCTCTTCCAGGATGACCACTACCCCGACAGCGACAAACGCAAAGAAATCGCAGCGGTCGTTGGCGTGACGCCCCAGAGGATCATGGTTAGTCTGTCCTGTGCTTCCCGGAATCTGCACAGTTCCCTGTTAATCGTATTCATAATACTCAGAGCTCCTGACACGTCCTGAAGCAGAACGGCTCAGGTGACCATGCAGCATGCAGGCCGCCTGGGGTCCCGAAGCAGAATGGCTCAGGTGACCATGCAGAATGCAGGCCGCCTGGGGTCCTGAAGCAGAACGGCTCAGGTGACCATGCAGCATGCAGGCCGCCTGGGGTCCCGAAGCAGAGCTTCTGCCTCTCTGACCTGAATCTTAATGCTGCCTCTCATTCTGCACCTTCTCCCATTTCTTGGTGTCTCTCCCTCCTGCTTCTTTTCTGTCTCCCACCTCTTGCTTTTCCCCCATCATGCTCATCTCATCCCACATCTCTCTCCGCCTTCCCTGTGCCAGGTGTGGTTTCAAAACCGGCGAGCCAAGTGGCGCAAAGCTGAGAAAACCAGCACCAAACTGGAGCGCCGGCAGCCCGTGGGGGGGCGCGCCAAATCAGCTGCCGCCCCGCTGCATGTCCCTGTCCCCCCCGCCAGGTGTGTGTGCACACGCGTTCCTAGAGAAGGAAAGCAAAAGCGGAGGCCATTACTGGCATGTTTGTTCCTCCACAGTCGGTTGTATCCAGTCATTTTTTCCAGTCTGTCACTTTTCAGGTGGGATGGGAGGGACTCGTATATGATGTCCCCGCCCCTTTTGTGTCGCCAGGCCCAGCATGCACGTGACCCAGGCGATGACACGCTTGGTGCCACAGCCAGTGCAGACGCTGCCCCACTACAGCAGCATCCTGTCGAGCTGCCTGAGTCCGTCAGGTACCAGCCCCCTCCCCCTCTCCCCGACGTCCCGCCAGAGACGCAGCCGCCGCATGGCTCTGCACACCGCTCGCTCGCTAACACCTCAGACCCGCTAAGCACATGGAGAGCTCTATGCTAATCGGAAGGCTGCGGATGGACTTTCCTGCTGTTCCTTCTCTGCCAGTATGGCAGAGGGCGCCAGCAGATGAGAGACTGGGCTGCTGATCGGCATGTAAATGAGTGACATGATTCCCGCAGGCTGGCGGGTGCTGTGTGCGTGCGGACAGGGAGTTCTTTCGTAAGAAAATACAGTACAGATACACGGTTTTAACAGCAGGGCAATACATTAAATGAGGTTAATAATAATAATAATAATAAATAATAGTGGATGAATAATGAAAAGGGTGGAACAGTTTTATGGACAACATGAGCGAAGACTGTGAGGGGATCCTGGCCGTACAGTGCAGCGTGTCTGGTGGAGATAACGGCAGATCAGTCGCAGGGTCCGTCCTCAGCTGAGCATCTAGGAGAGGACTACTGAGCGCCTCTCAGTACTGGGGTCCTGTCCACCCTGGAATCCCCCCCCCCTCCAGAAAATTAGGAAACAATAACTGAAAGGTGCTGTCTGGAGGCAAAAGGTCGTTACTGTGAAATCGTCGCTCGCGTATTTGCAGCTTAAAATCCCAGCTGCAGATGGACGTAGAATAATCAAGTTATTAAAAAATATAAAACTATGGAAATGAATTACTATGAAGTGGGTAAAGTAACACTCCCAACAATCACGCCTGTGGTGGGTGAGGAAAGGGTGCGTGCTGAGCTTTTCTTGTTTGTTTTAGCTGTAGAGACACTTGTACCTGACATCACAAAGCACTAGCACATGCGCCCCCTGCAGGTGAGATGGCTGAAGCGGGAGATAGACGGTGGTGTACAGTACATGTCACACAAAGAGGCATTGTGTGCAGTTGTGCCCCCTGGTGGGGCATATATGCTATGGCATATTTCGTATATCTGAAGCTGTTCCTAAGCCTCCCCTTCATCTCCCCATCAAAAGTTTATATTTCTCATGTGTTACTTACACCAGACCTGATTTGCGTAACTATGGACTTGAATATCAGTGGTTTGGTTTAGTCATTGTTCAAAGAGGCTTGATCAAAGCCGCTGGTAATTAAATCAAATCTCTTGTTGAACTTTAAGGCCGAGGAAAGGGAGAATCTATTTATATGACTTTGATGTGTCTCTCTGATATTATACACTGTAGCGAAAAAAACCACAATGTAAAGAAAGCAAAAATACCAGTGAACATTGCCTATGATTTACACTACGCTTGGTTGTAGGCTCCAAGTTACTAAATGTAATGAAGTTCCCGATTTAAATGTCTTTGCGAACATGTTTAAAGTACAAATCCAGGATGTTTTTCTACTTTGGGGGCACAAATTGAAATTCCCACGTGTACCTTGTCATTACCGTGGGAATGCAGGTGGGCAGACCGTTTGCCGTGATGACGTCAGCCGGCTGGGTGATTGTGACGGCTGCCAGGCAGGTTCACTGACACATAGTGTGCTGCTTGTGGCTGAGTGACACATAAGTGACTGGCAGGTTGATGAATGTGTCCATAACTGTGTGTGTGTGTGTGCGCGTTTCTCATGCTGTGCACCTAGATGTGTGTGCATGTCTCACCCCCTGGTTTGTTTCTGCCTGCAGGTGAGCCACCAGGTGGCGACGCAGGGCCTCAGTCTGTGGTGTCCACTGGTTTGGTGGGGGGCACAGTCGAGTACATGCCCCCACTGATGGTCAGCCCCCCGCCTCTGCGCCGTGCCAGCCTGCCCCTGCTGCCCTCCTACCCCCCGCCCAGCCACCTGGCCCCCCTCCTGCTGGACACTCCAGACAGTGGCTCTGCCCCCCCCCACCCCGATGGAAGCAGCAAGGAAGTACTGGGGTTCATCCAGCAGAATGATGGAGCCGGGTGGGTGGGGGCGTGATCATGGGACAGGGGGCGGGGGGTCGTGAGCCATGGGGGCGAAACCGCAAGCTGTTTTGAAAGCTGGGGGTTTGTGTAGGTGGCATCAGTCCTGCTGGGCCTGAAGAACTCCAGCTTGGCTAACTGGCTACTAATAAAAAAGGTTCCAGATTGAGTGAGCACCAGTTCAGGACCACAGCCAGCAGGGGGAGCTACTCCAGCGTTCAGTACTGGAGATGTAGCTTTGGAACGCAGTCAGCAAAGCTTTTTACCTTCAGACTCTTTGAGGCAAGCTGCTGCTGTACTTCTGTAGAACGCTTCATCTTACCGAGCTTTTGACATTCGGTGTCTTGTCGCCCATCCCTCCGACATGATTTCTTGCAGGACGTCCAGTTCGCTGTTCAGCTATGGGGATGGAATCGGCAGCTCCATGAAGGTGGACGCACAGCATTACCTCCACACCGGCCACCAGGGCGGCGCTCTCTCCTACCAGCTCACCTCCTATCCCCAGCAGCACAGTGGCCTGCTACCCACCTCGAACCTTGCCCAGTACCCCCGCATGTCCTACCTTGTCCCTCCCTCCTCCAGCCTGACACCCACCCCGCCTGAAAGCAACCCGTCCTACCTCGCCTTTGCTGGGGGGGGCAGTGGGGCTGTGGTGAGCTACACCTCTGCTGGACACGCTTTCTTCCAGGCCCAGAGCAGCAGTCAGATACTGCTGCCGTCTGGGGTGCACGGTGAGACAGGGGCAGAATCTGTAATTGTTGCTGATGTTGTATATTGTTGGGAGGGTGTGGCCATACTGTGTGACACCGGGACATTGATGAGCTACACCATGCGAGAGGGGTGTTTGTTCAGTCCTGTGTTCCCCACCAATGGCAGCGTTTCTGTTTCTTTATGCACTAATGGTGGCGTTTCTCTCCTTCCGACCACCAATGGCAGCGTTTCTCTGTCTTCATCCAGCGTACCAGGCGTGCCCCTGGGGTGAGGTTTACAACCAGCCCAACCAGTACCCAGCCACTGTTTTCCACCGGTCCCAGTACACAGGACTGGGTCACGAGTCGAGCCTGTACCAGCCCAACACAGGCCCTGGTCTGCTCCCTGCCCAGCACTACGTCCCACTGCAAAGGTCAGCGGCTGTGCTTGGCCCCGGCCTGCTCCTGCACCCACAGAAAGCCCCCGCCGCCCCCTCGGGGGGGTTCCAGACACCCACATCCTCAGTCCTGCGGCCGCAGTACCAGAACCCGGACAAGATGGAGGAGGCCGACAGCACGGCAGCCAGAGTGGGCCAGGACGCAGATCCTGGTACCGGGAAGGTGGAATATGAACCGACACCAGAGTCCGGTACGACCCAGCTGTCAGACTCTCGGCCCGTGGGGTCTGACACTGGCTTCGACTGCGACTTCTCACCCATCCATTTCTGAGGCGGCGCCACGCAAGGTCTGTCTGTGTCCGTGTCTTTGTGCCTGTGTGTGTGTTCAGGAGGTTATAGCTGTGGGCCCAAATCGTCAAGATTTTCAAAAAGACATTAATGTCTCATGATCCGCTTTTGTATCAAACTGGAAGCGCTCGGTTTCTTTTTGTTTTTGTTTGTCAGGCAGTGAATTGCATTAAAATCTGGAAAATTCACGGGGGGGTGTGTGTGTGCATGAGTGTGGTTATGTATGTGTGTGTTGGGGCGTGTTAACGGGATCACTTTGAACATCCATGTCAGTTCAATGTTTTTATTTGCAGTGTTTCCCCGTCGCTCAGGGGCTTTGGGATCTGGAGCCCCGAGATATGCAGTGGCAGCCTGACTGAGCTCCCCTGCTGCCGCCTGCCCACCATTCAGTGCCCGGCATCCAGTGTCCGGCACTGCACTAGTATTGCTGTTTACTTTTGGTTCTCTTCCATTTTATTTATTTTTATAAGTTTGCTGGTTTGTCTGTTCCCTTGGATGTTGGAGTGGCTTGTTATGGCAGCGGATCCTGACCCATTAAAGCGCTCTTCATGTGAGAGAAGTTGAGGACTCGTCCTCGTCTGTCGCGCTCGGTGGTGTCCCTGTCCGTCTGCCTTGGGCCGGCCTCAGGCACAGTGTCTGCTGGGCCACTAACAGCCAGTGCGACCTGTGTCTCTGCTTAAGACTGAAGTGGGAACACTGTTAATGTGAGGTACAGATTGTAATATGTTAATGAGCAGGCCTGATTATTTGGGGGAGCACCCAGATAGTTTTGCTAAGAGAACAGTAGAGGTCAGAGTTCCGCCCCGGAAGGTTCTGCAAACGTGGACCAGAGCAGCTTCATGTCAGCCACAGCCCAACGTGCCACGATTACAGCCCCTACAGAGGTAATGTTTGACAGCTTGTAAGTTTGCCAGATTACTATGACAGTAAGTAGAGGTGTAGAGCTGTGTATACACTAAAATACTAAACAGAAGTGTGTGTGCGCAGTTAAACGGTGTGACCGTGCAGCCAGCTGAGGAGGGCGAGCCGCAAGAGGAAGAATGTCAGCGAGGCTGAAATGGAGGTCCTGCTGGCGGGGGGGGCAAATACCTGCCGGGCCGCTGTTCGGGAGCCTTACCAGGGCTGTTATTACTGGGGATGTCACCATACCAGAAATGTAGTAGCCGATACCAATACCAGTGAAATTCCACGATATTCCATACCCAATTCAATACTGAAATAAACAAAACAATTAATCCCATGTACTTCGACATACACCCCTTTATTAAAAACATCTGAACATTGCAAAAAAACAAGTGACATGTCTTCAAGAATTTAAAACAAACAATACTGTACTCAAAAAGGGCTACAATTTATTATGGCACTACATTACCCGGCCAATAAGATAAAACAAAATAACTATTAATATAACAAAAAAAAATAACACGAGGACAGCGCGGTGCACACGCACGGAATTACTTTCTAAGTGTAGGATATTAAGTCAGAAATGAGAGGCAGAAGAAAAAAATATCAAAAGACGCGGGAAAATCAAAGGCAACAAAGCGATCGCATCACCAATCGTAAAGAGCTTAAAACAAACGTAATGTAGGTCAATATCTGAAAAAACTTAACAGTAAAAGTATTTTGTTTCTTAATTCATACAAGTAGCACTTTTAGATATCAGGTTTGTGATCTGTTGACATGTTTCTGAACACAGTGCAAGTGGTTCAAGAGTAATAAGCAGGTATGTTTTATATATATATATATGCAGGTGTTTATGCTGCTCTCGTCAGGTCCAGAGGAACTGCATCACTGGTATCTACGGTTCTGTAGAAAACAGGTTCTTGTAAAATCGGGGCCATCTGCCCACAAAGCCCTAAAGGTGTAGCTCTTGGCTTTAATTAATTAGTCAATTAAGCAGCAGGACGACCATGCTGGCGTTCAGATTTCGCACTATCTGCAGTGCCCCAACAACAGCCACAAGGAAAAGTGAGTACGCCAAGTCTGAACCTGCCTGGGGCGAGGTGGGGTAGGCGCAGGGCTGACTTCCCGCGACGCTGAATAAGATAAGCGGTTACGGAAAATGTATAGACGAGCATGTATGAATTAATGATGTATTAAGTATGAAGTGACATTTAGACTGCCAGCAGAGATGGAGGTGAAGTTAAAAGTGGCAGCATACACCAGCGTGTCAGCTGAAGATTCCCCGGACGGCGGCGCGCTGACCGGATGCAAAGCGTGACCGCAGCGCTCGCACCGCTAAGAAAGTATCTTGCTTTTGCTGCCCCCTGGTGTCCCTACTGGCATCCTGCTCCGTTCTACAGCGCGAAACTACTTTCCCAGCGGCGGCCCTGGACCGCGCCGTGTGGCTGCGCGCAGATCGCAGACTCCGACTTCATCTCCTGCTGACTCTGGTGCCCACAAGTTGTGTTTCATGGCTTTCGCTAGAGGGCGCTTGTCAACCACCTCCTTCAGCCGGACCGGCGAGTTTGAAATGGGGAAGGAAACTTTCAAGCGAGTCTCCTTCCTGTTAATTGAAGGGAGAACGTTGGTTCATTTCGTCTCACAGGCCTCTGTGTTAAACCAAAAATTGCCCTCTTCTTTCCAGAACAAACTGTCCTTCTAGACGAATGTGTACATGCTAATCAGTAGCTATGCATGTAGCGATGTATGCGCGTGCATTTCCCGGTTCGTGCGTGCGCGCACGTCCGAGCGGCTCCGGCTGCTGAATGGATCCTTCACGGAGCCTCCGCCGGGAGACAACAAGCGGCCATTCAGGTGTGCGGCTTGCAGGGCAGCCTCCCAAGAAAAGCCGAGCTCTGCGGACACGCCGCCTCTCTAGGTTCACGCACACAAACGCAGTTTCTAGCTGTTTATTATTCCATCCAATATTTTCTCGTTTTCGTAAATTCATGGGGTTTTTTTAAACGATAAGGCTGTTATTATAAAATGTCAAAAGGCCTATATGTTTTGCATGTTTTTGATATGCTTACTTCCTGTTAAGACACCACTGAACAGCACATCGCTGACCGCAGGAGTGTGGGTGATGCTGTCAACTGAAAATAATGTTTATTTCTGATCTGACAACCTTGGCGCACTGCAAGGGCCCCACCTAGTGCCCCCCGCCCTCCTCATATAACTTCTGTATAATCCCACTGGAACCTCACAGACATGCAATTGTTCTCCTGCTGACCCCAAACTTTTAGCTCATGCATGCGCATGTATACATGCATGCAAGCATAAATGAGCCGAGCTGACAGTGACCTGCGTGGCTGCCGGTCTTCGTGTCGGTGTGTGTCTGCATAGCTGTCCGACTCATTTCTAACTCGCACTGTTTGAGGTGCCGAGGGCCCGTTTGGGTTCTGTCTTGTCTGAGCTCCCAGAAATGATGCCACACTTCCTGTCCTGGTGTGTCTACATGTGCGTGCCAGGAAGTGGTCGCTCATGCAGGAAGCTCATGCAGGAAGTTGCCCTATAGCCTGTGAGCTGCTTTGCTGCCTGTCACTCTGCTCCGCAGGTGAAGACGCCACCATGCCTGAGGCGAGCTCCCTCCACCTGACCCTGTACTCCCGCAGCCTCTGCTGCCATGTCCGCTCCGCCAGCACCAGCATCGTCCTCTACTACCTGGTAACTGTTTTGCGCCGCCGGTCGCTCTTCCTGCGGGGCTTCGACACGCTGCGCGCTGCTCAGACTCCACTGGCATGGCTCCCTCTCAGCCGCCCAGTCTCTGTCGCAGCACTGCCTGTTTCTGTGTTGCTTTTGCTTTTGATTTGTACACTATGTATAAATGAATAGAATTTAAAAGCAGCTTTGACATCAACAACCAGGCCTCTTGTCTCTGAGAGGGAGCGACGGCGGAGCATTTGTATGTCGTATTAAGCCAGAGAGAGAAACGTGAAGCGTTGGTTCCTCTTTTTATATAAATACACACTGTAACCAGAGAACCGGGCAGTAATGAGCTCAAAAGCAATTTCACACTTCTGATAATCTACCGAAACTGGTCTGTTAGCCTGCTTCTTCTTTTCTGTGTTATACATTTATACCAGTGCAGTGGGTATGTGTGCAGTTCTTATGATTTGGTTTAAATGGGCGTTGTTAGAATTCGAAGGATTGTCGGGCTCTTATTCTAAGCAACGGCTTTATTATGAAGTCCTAGCTAGACCCCGTACCTGCTTCGACATGTGCGTTCAGTGAAGCCATTCTGTGAAGCGCTGTTTCACTGAGTTGTTGGTTTTGTACTCATAGCCTTCCTGCTAGCTTTAATGAGTCTGCTCATTCTCCTCCAATACACCCCCCTCCCCCGCTGGCGTTTCCGGCCAGAGAAATGTCCTGGACTGGGTGTTGTTTTGCGTATCACATGATTCTCTGTAAAGGCTGGACATTGGACTGCATGCGGATCACAGAAAAGTGGCTGCTTCCGAGATGCTGGATGCACCACGTTGCTCCAGCAGACGACCCAAAATCATTTATAGCCTCGATTTGGCGTCTTAACAGGCTGATGTAGCTGTTTACTGTGTTTACTGGATCTCCTTTGACTACGGTGAAGTAAAGCGAAACAAAATGATTACACAACAGGAAATCGGCCATTTTGGCACTGAAGGCTGGGTTTGCACGCACTTTTAATTCCTGCTGTGCACCCTCGAGCAGCTGTGCCCCCCATCCCCCCCCGATATGTGCGTCATGCGATTATTTAGCAAGAAATGTGTTTGTGGGAGGCCGGTAAAGATGAGTGATAGTGAGATGGTGGAAGATGGAGCGGTGTGATTGAGCTTCACACTGTGGGAGGCTCAGTGCCAGGTTATCTGCAATCGGTTCCCCCCCCCCACCCCCTCGCCAAAAGAAACCCTTTTAACATTGGTCCAAAAGGTCTGGAAATTGAGAAGACATGGGAAAGTCCAGTTGCCCAGAGTCCAGATGGTATGTTCTGGTTGAGTGGCTCGTCATCCTGTCTCTATGGCAGCTACAGTTGACGCTGGTAGGAATAGCTGAGTAAGAAGCAGATTTGTGAGGCTCCTTCGGACACATTCACGCTGGGGGAGTCGCCTGCATGTGCTGCTTCAGCTCCGCGTCTCACTCTCTCTGATCACTCTCTCCTCAGTTTAGCACCACTCTGTTTACCAGCAGCACACCTGCGTGACTCTCACTCCTCTCTGTACAAGTCTCTGTTTTATCACTCTCTCTCCCTTTATCTCCGTTTGTTTTTCTATCTCTCTGTTTAGTATTTTTACTCAATATCTCAGTCCAGCTCCACGCAGATCTGCCAAAATGAATTTCTTCCTTATTCTATTGACTGTAATACCTCCATTTGTGTGGGGTGCGCATGCTCATGTATCTCTGTGTGGCCTGCAGGGCTCCTCGCTGCTGGTTCTGGCCCTCATGGTGACCAGCCTCATCACAGGGAGGAACTTCTGTGGTCTCGTCGCCTCTGAGCAGCTCTCTCGGGGACAGCAGATCTGTAAGCCTCCTGTCCTGGTTCACACTCTCCTGCAGTGTTTACTGCAGAGATATGACATTCTCACATACTTTGTACCTTTACTGCAACTATGTGTTAAAAAAAAATCTCTATCACTTTTACTCTGTTGAAATACATGGCATAAAATGTTTCTAAGGAAACTTCAGTGAGATTTGAAAATCATGTGGAAGTTCCAGATGGCATATGGCAGCTCTCTTCTCTGCTCTCTCTTCAGTTGACGTCACCTCCAACATGCTCCTGCTGGTCATGATGACCTTCTCCAGCATCTTTGCCTTGGTTGGCCTGTGCAAAGTGGGTGTCTCCTGTTTGGTGACCGGACGATTGTTTTAAACAGACTTCTGGGTCTCTCTCCCCCCACACCTCCCAAATTCCTCCCCAATACTCTGAGCACGTGTCCTATCACCCTGTACCACTATCCCTATCACTCTCTAGCACCCTCAATTACTCCTTATCACTCCTTAACACCCACTATCACCCCCCACCACTCCCTATCACTCCCTGTCACCCCATCATCCCTATCACTCCATGTCTCATTACCCCACCTCAGGAGCTCATAGAGAAAGCCGGGCCGACATGTATATTATTTCCCGATTGATTTTCCTGGGCCTCCCTCTCAGTCAGACAGACTGTGCTCACAACACGCCTGGAAAAAAGCTGCCTTTCTGACGAGACCCTGCATGTATGAGACGCCTTTGGCTCCACCGTCCCACCACATCAATATTTGTTCAGTATTTCGAGATGTGCAAAAAGAGAACTTGTTTCAGTATTTATGACTGTGGTGGAACATAAAAAACCTTGCAGTCCTTCCAGGCAGTCAGGTTCCCCCCCCCCCAACGTCTGTCGTACACAGATGTACTTTTAAATTCTGCATAAGGAAAGTCAAATAAAGGCAGCCTGTGATCTCTGTCCTGGCTGCCAGCAGCGTGTTTGTGTGCGCGAGAGCGGATGTGTGTGTCGGTGATTAAGAAAATGTAGACTGGGAGGCCGCTGTGTCCCCCCCCCCGCCCCCCTATCTCTCCTGAGTACGGCCACCAGCCCCGGTGGGGGCAGCTTGTATTCAGAATAGAGTGCCAGTGAGCCGGTTTCAGCCGGTAGAGGTGGAGCCCAAAGGTTGGCCTGTCTTGCTTCAGTAACATCCTGCCTGCTCCAAAACATCCCTGCGTCTTTCCACACTGACGCTGCTCCCTGCCTGTCTCCTCTTTTCAGGGGAGTCCCCATCACATGGTCCCCCTGATCGTCCTCCTCTTCCTGGACTTGGGTCTCACTGTGATGTCCACGTTCAGTAGCTCCTGGGGGCTTCCAGGGACCCCCAGCTATGAAGAAAGTGAGAAGGTACAGCTTAGCCACCACCTGACTTCTGTCTTGCTCCAGTTCTTTCCCGCTGTTGTGTTGCTCCTCCGCTGGCCTCTGTCTCCCTGGGTGCCCTTGCTCAGCCACTCTGACCCCCATTCTTCTCTCACCTGCCCCCCCGCCCCACGCAGACCTACCTGACCACCCAGAGGGAGCTGGACCCCAGGATCGTGGCTCATTTCAGCCTGGCCTTCGGCGTCCTGTTTGTTCTCTACCTGCTGATGAAGGTACACAGACTATGAGTCTCAAAGCACGTAGTGGCAGGACGTCGCGTAAACATGTCTGTGTTTAAACCCCCCCCCAAAGCCCCTGCAGTCTGCATTCAACAGCGCAGCCCCTGACTTTGGGTGGGGACGGGGATTCGGAAGCTGCTGCCCAGCAGAAACACCACATAAATGCCCCCCCCTCCATGGGTTGCGCGCATCTACAGATCCACAGACACACAGAGGATCCTTCAGCTCTCAGTACCAGCACCTCCTGCTCAGCTCACACACACATATAGGTCTGAGACTCGGACACAAGTGTGATCACCAGTCACTCGCACACACTGTTTTGCACACACTGCACATTGCTCAAATTCCACAAAAAGTGCCCCCCTCCCCCGACACGCGTCCATAAAGACCAAAAGACACTCTGCACTCACTCTCGCTGCCGTGATACTCTTGTGCCCTTGTCTGTTGCCTAAACACACCGTCAGTGGTTCTGAAGGCGCCTTCATACTAGACGGCCAAACCCAGCTATGTTGACTTTATTGAGCTGCTTATGCATGAAAGTCTCATGTCTGAGGAATCGCACCCGGATCCCCGTTTTACGAGCGGCTTGTTCATGTGAGGCACGGGGGTGTTGGGGTGGGATAGTGAGGGTCCTGTTCGCGGGGTTACGCAGCCCAGCTGGACGGAGGGGAGATGGGGCTTCACCGGGGGGGGTCCCTGGTGCAGGTGTTCCATTGCCATGCCGACCGCCTCCCCGTTCCTCTGCAGGTCTTCATGGTGAACACGCTTCTGCGCTGCTACTTCGTCATGAAGGCCGAAGCTCAGGAGAGACCCGTGTGCGAGAAGAGCGTCCTGGTGAGTCCTTGCACACCGGGTCACCGCGCCCCTTCACTTTTTGCCCATGAATGTATTTAGTTTCTATAATTTATTCTAAAATTCTCGCTGAGGAATTTTATTTAAAACTTTGTTTGCCATACTAAGCACAAACGCGGTGGAAAATAAACGTCCCTGCGCATTTATACCTCTATCTCGGAAAATATCCGACACACTTCCTGTGTGTACTCTGGTTTCTCATCACATGCGTGGCAGTGCTAGCGGTGTGTGACTTCACCGGCGCCGCCCTGCTGGCAGAGGCAAGGCAGAGAACACACAGGCCGGTGGTCACGCAATTTCACTTCCCCCCCTAGGTGGACCTGCCCTCTTATGAAGAGGCCCTGAAGTTGCCCTCCAAGGACCCGGCTCTGGCTATCCTGGGGCCCTAGGGGCCTGCACCCTCCCACGCCAGCCGCTGTACACCTGCACCCGGCCGCAGCCCCCGAGTGACTGCGCCCACCACAGCTGCCACCGCTGCTTTCTCTTGCAGCTTTCTCCCTTCGCAGAGCGCAGATGGTGCAGATGCTGGCTTTAGTGTTGGCTTTAAAAAAATTTGATTATAGAGGCACCATTTGTTTTTGTTTTTTTAAGTAAGGGGAGAAGCTTTTTGTATGTTGCTTTGTGCTCTATTTTTTAAGCAGAAAGCACACATATATATTGTTGTATCATTTTTGCAAACCTTAAACTGCAGTTTGAATTGAAGCTAAAGGATGCAAAAAAAAGGGAGGGAGAGAGAGAGAAAGAGGGACAGGAAGGACAGATATGGGGAGAGAGAGAGAAAGCGAGCTGCTGAGTGAGTGTACTGCCTGCATTCTGCTGCACTTAAAGGCCTGAATTCCCGTAATAAACATCATGAAAGTGTCGTGTGATTCTGCGTCATGTTTCTGTTGCCTACAGGTAGAGGAGTATTTGTTGCTTAGCGCCGCGAGGAATTTAATTGGTTTAATTGGCTCTAGCTGCCTTTGTCTGCACACCTTCCCTATCTGCCATGCTGGGGTGTAGCTCGGATGGATACAGTGCCCCCCCCCCACGGGCGGTGACCCTAGGCACCCCTGGTGCCCCGGCCGCATTCCTGTGGCAGTTCCGGGCGTGGGCCAACTCTGCGGGGCCAATCTGAGGGGCCCCGGCCGGCCGCACAGATGCATCTCTGTCAGAGGGATGGGCGAGGGGGCCCGTCTGAATGGGGGGCTTTCAGAAAGCGGCCCGGGGGGGGGGGAGGAGGGATCACGCTCCAGCACCTGAGGAAACACAAATACATTTACAGTCAAACGCTCCTATACAGACAGTGAAACATGCCGATTCACATGCACATTTACGGATTACTGTTATACAGTAAACTGACACACTGAAACACGCCGTTTCACACAGATATTTACTGTTACACACAGTTACATGCATTAAAACACACATAGTACACACACTGAGACGGGTACATACATGTACAGTCACACCCTAAAACACATTTGCATGTACAGTCACGCTGAAACACAGCGATGCACATGTGACTGCATGCACAGACATCTGCAGGGGCCATTGTGTGTCTGTGGGTTAGGATGGTGATGGTGGCCCTTCAGTGACGCCTAATCCTGGCTGACCCGGCACCCTGACCCTAACGCTGATCAAAAAGCCTCTAATCAATAAATATAAGTCAACATATCCAGCAGTGATTATTAATATACCCCTGATTGATTGGATGGATGGATGGATATTTTCCACCCTTCCTCACTAAAAGCTATTTTTTGAAAATAATAAATGCACCTCAAAACTATTTATCCAGGAATCGGGCAGAGACTCCAGCAGAGGATCAGTACCTGCACTTCTGGATTCATCTTCCCCTAAAACAAACTAGAGCAGACAAGTGCTGGAAGGCGACAGCAGTATTGCCCGCGAGGGAACGGACCGCGTGAGAGAGGCGTAGGGAGACGGAGCGCGGGAGAACGGGGACTGCAGACTCACGAGCGCGCACACGCACACAAACACGCGCACGCACACAAAAAAACACGCGGAGATATTCATAATCAGGTGGTTTGTGGGAGGACATCCAGAGTGACTGAGACGGTGATATACGGCCATGAAGCACCTAGATGTGGGTGTGATGTGGAAGAGGCCTGCCAGCCCTCCGGAGCCTTCTGTGGAGCTTATCTGATCTGTTACTCTCGTTTCCCTAATCTCTGCTTGCACCCCCTCAGCACCGAGACACATCCTTCCTTGGCTGCCAGTGACCCCTCCCTCCTCAAAATAAATGTGTAACAGTTTGAAAAGGGAAGATGCGGGAAAAAAGAGGAATTCATCACTGTTTATTTGAACAACACCCAATTCCAGCCACAATCCCGTCCTTCCAGAAAAGTTGGGAACACAAGGCACCCCCGGCCCCGACACCCCCCTTCCCCACACCTAAAGCCCGTCCCCTGGGCTGCATGAAGGTGTGTTTGTTCTTGCTCCCCTTTTCTGAGATTCTTCCAGGTTCCCGGGCCGGTATTTCCTCTCCTCACATGCGGCTGTGTGTGTGTGTGTGTGTGTGTGTGTGTTTTAAGGCATTGCTGTTGATAACCTTGTTCTCACTCCCCACGCCTCTCAGTCCTCCTCCTGTCGTGCTCTGGCTTCTCTCTTGCTCACTTCTCCATCGCTCCTGCCCGCCTGAGCCATGACGGCCCGTCTGCCCTTATGCGCGTCCCTGCTGCTCCTCTGCCTCCTCAGAGCCCACGCCAGTCTGGAGCTCCGCCACGCTGCTGCCATGGGTAAGACTGCACCTGGGCATGGTGGGGAGGCGCGGCGGGGAGTCCCGGTGAGGAGGCGCGGTGGGGAGGCATGCCGCTGCCCCTCCAGGCGTGCCCCGCTGCCAGCTCCTGTGGATTGGGGGTTCAAGCGCTGAGTAGAAATCCGGGGGGACACAGATATTACGAGGGATACGGGAATTGACCTCCTCACCCTGCTCCGTCAGGGAGAACCTGCTTACTGGTTCATGGTCACCAGTCCCGGGATACACGGAACTTCTGCTGGTTGCAAGGTTGTTTCAGGTCCCAAGTGAGACTTGGTGATCTAAGCGGGATTTGGGTGTCCGGAGCAGCTCCTGTCTGACTCTGCGTTTTTAAATCCATCACTTAGTCAGCAGATATTCTATGACTTTTTCCAGCTTTCCTCTGTACTTTAATGCCGTCTGAGACCTGAAAGAGGCGAATTCTCCCTATAGGAAAATCAGAAGCTGGTATAAGCATGTCAGGGCTGGCAAGGGAAGACAGTTTTGCTGCTGGAAAATGTTCTGCTCATGAATGGATAAGGTCAGCATCTGACGAGGGGCTCGGACGCTGTGTCATCGCTGCTCTGAGCCTCCTGCACGTTCGGCGCAGCTCAGGGCTGAACGATGCTCTTGGGTGAGGTGCTGAAATACCTTTGCAGTTGTGATTAAAGGCTACATTGGCTCTGCTCTGCTCTGCTGAATAATGTCTCTCTAGGAGAGAACAAATGTTGTCGTCTAACTGTGGACTTTAAAAACTGTGGCAGTTTTTTTTCCCCCAGTCTCTTATTATGCAGTTGCATCACTCTCAGCATTGTCATTATTGTACCCAAATGTCAGCATAATTACTGTGCCTTTTCAGCATTTGCAGACCCTGTGTCACTTGTTCTCCTGCCTGACGTGACGCCTGCAGCTCTCTCTCTATCAAACATGGCTCCTCTCTTCCTGCTTGGAGCTGTGCTGCAGTTCCCTGCTGTCATACTCACAGACTGCTGGAGCAGGTTCACTTTTTGTCTGAGAACATTTTTTAAAATTCTGCATGAAATGAAAGAAACAAAGAAACGTCTAGCTGATCCTTCCAGGATCTGGTCAGAGTGCCGGCCGATGAGGTGACTGCCTGCTTTGGTGCGGAATGCGCAAGAATATCACAGGGGACCAAGATAAATGTTAAAGGCCCCCTGGGGCCCTGCAGTGTGCGTGTGTGTGCAGGAGGGGGCAGCATTGGGCTGGAGCACTATGCAGCCTAACAGGGACTGAGTCTAACTCCAACAGAGAGGGACTGCTGGGCAGTGTCAACGTCGTAGGTTTGGTTTCAGCACCGGCAGGGACCAAATCCGCCCCCCTAAACAGGCACAGCAGTCCCACAATATCAATCGGGATGCAGCCGTCCATTCCCAAATCTATGCCCTTGGCCAGTGTTTATCTAGCATATCTCCAGTGGGTCAGGCTGTGATTCCTGAGCGCTCTTGTGTGCCTGTGTAGTTTTACAATCAGCACTCGTTAACGTCTCTTGTGGCCCTTCAGTCTGAGAGCAAGGACTTCAAGGATGCTATGCAGGTTCATGTTGCTGTTTACAAAGATGTCAGATGTCCAAGCAGGTTCTATGACAGACAATCATCTCATGCATTTCTCTGTGTTTCTATCTCTGCACAGCCGCGGGCCTGTGTCAGACGCGGCCCACCGACCTGGTGTTCATCGTGGACAGCTCTCGCAGCGTGCGGCCCTCAGAGTTCGAGCAGGTCAAGGTCTTCCTGACGAAAGTCATCGACGGCCTGACTGTGGGGCCTAATGCCACCCGCGTGGGCGTCGTCAACTACGCCAGCCGCGTGAAGAACGAGGTGTCGCTGAAGACGTACCGCACCAAGGCGGCCCTGGTGAAGGCCGTAAAACGCATCGAGCCGCTGTCTTCGGGCACCATGACGGGCCTGGCCATCCAGTTTGCCCTTAACGTGGCTTTCAGTGAGGGAGAGGGGGCCCGCCTTCACTCGCCAGAGATCAGCAAGGTGGGGCGACAGCTTTTCCTCAGGGGCCACTGGAGGGGTACTGACAGCTGATGCGGGTGATATTTTGAGTTCAGCTTTCCTATGCATTTCCACACACACTACACACAGACACACGCGCACCCTACTGGACAATAGCAGTACTGCACAAGGATGACACCATCCATCAAGCTGCCATACCAACAAACCCAGACATTAAGTCCAGTAACACTATTAATCTACAGTCTCTTGCCCACCCCCCCCCCCCACATCCCCGCTGCCCTGGTGCCGCCCTCACAGGTGGTCATCATCGTGACGGATGGGCGCCCCCAGGACAACGTGCGCGATGTGGCGACCCGGGCACGGGAGGCTGGCATCGAGCTGTTCGCCATCGGCGTGGGTCGCGTGGACATGAACACGCTGAGGCAGATTGCCAGCGAGCCCCTGGAGGAGCACGTGGACTACGTGGAGAGCTACAGCGTCATCGAGAAGCTCACCAAGAAGTTCCAGGAGGAAGGGCGGGGTGGATAGAAGTTGATGAAACATACAACATGAGAGCGCCCTCTAGAGGAGAGGAGAGGTACTGGGGGCTGGTGGTGGATTAAGAGACGCGACCTGACAGAAGAAGCTACTTTATCGGGCAGCAAGTTTACTGCAAGTTTAACCACGTTATTCACAGTCAGTGTAGGCATGTTTTTGGTTGAGTGAAATATTAATGTATGTTACATTTTTACAAAATATTGGGTAGGCACATGCTTCTGCCTAAATTCATTGGCACAACGCCATTGGTGGGTGGAATCATGCTAGAAGCCTGATGACTTGTCTGTGTGTGTGTGTGTGTGTGTGTGTGTGTGTGTGTGTGTGTGTGTGAGTCTGCCCTCCCCAACACCAACGGAGTCTTCCTCACATAACTCAGCCTCAGTCATAGTGCCCCCCAGGGCTGGCAGAGCTCCCCTCAACTGAGGCACCTGTCATTCTCCGGAGGAGGGGGGCTGGGGGGGCAAGCTGATCAGAGAGAGATTTTCCAGATACAGGTCATCTTTGCTGCAGTGTCATGTTTCCTTCACCCATGGGGTGTATGGGGGCAGTTGAAAGCTGATTGGCCTGCAGTGTGCCCCCTCCCTTGTCACTCACCAATTCAAAACATATCATTGGCTAATGATAAGGTTCGCTGATCTGTATGAATTAATAACCCCTCTTATGCCCCCCCCCCACCTTAAAAAATCCTAGAATGACCTGTGCTTCACCTCCTTCTAAACAAAGAGTTGTGACTAGACCAGACATTACCCTATCTGTGTGTTTCATAGATGGGCACTATTTGAAATACTTATTCTTGAAATATGCTGTTAAATGTCATTGTTGTTATCGTGCAATAAAGCATAAACAGACTCAACTAAAGTTATAAATTCAACTGTAAAAAAATGCATGATCTTATCACATATTCCAGTATGTATTTCAATGTGGCCCATTGCTGTTCATTTTAATGATCCACTGCCAGAATGCAAGTAAAATACAAGAGTCACACTGTCATTAATACATCAAAAGATTTATGGATTTACAAGTCAAAGATTATGGATTTATGAACTAAACAAAGTGGATCCTTAAAATAACCCCTAGTTCTTCTTCATCTCTGTTCTGTGACTGATATAGTTTTATTTTCTCTCCCTTAACTCTGCCCCAATCGTTGCCCTCTGTGTCTGCGTATGCCTGCACACACCTGCGCACGTCTGCATGGGCCTGCGCAGTGTCTGATCTGTGCGCGACAGGGGACCATGACTGTGAACAGGTATGCATCAGTGTACCTGGCTCGTACAAGTGTGCCTGCAACGAGGGATTCACACTTATGGAGGATGGCAGGTCATGCAATGGTGAGTCGGACATGCTGGACAAGTGCAGGCGACTGTGGTCATTTAATCTGAAAGAGAGGGATAGAGATGGGGGTAACTCAGAAGTTTAATGCCAGGCTGACTGGCTTTCACCTGCCACACCTATAACCAAACCACTCCATGCCAAGGGCGTCGTTAGGTCCAATCAGTGGGGGCCTGTAGCCCCCTGTACTTTAAGCCTACCCCCACGTATTTAGCTCCGATGCCAGTCTTCCTTCAACAAAAACTAAAGTCAAGCCCCAGGTAAACTTGATTTTTTTCAATAGCTAGACACACCCTATGCTCCATGCTCTGGTATGTAGGAGCATGTGATCTCTCCCAGCCTGTCATATTCTTCTTTCTCAACAGCCTGCAGCAGTGCAGCAACCGACGTGGTCTTTATGATCGACGGCTCAAAAAGCGTGCGTCCCGAGAACTTCGAACTGGTCAAGAAGTTCATCAACCAGATCGTGGACAAGCTGGATGTGTCGGAGAACAAGGCGCATGTGGGCCTGGTGCAGTACTCCAGCGCCGTGCGCCAGGAGTTCCCACTTGGCCTCCACAACAACAAGAAGGACGTGAAGGAGGCTGTGAAGAAGATGGACTATATGGAGCGTGGCACCATGACGGGCCAAGCCCTGCGATTCCTGATGGACAGCAGCTTTACTCCCAACCAAGGCTCCCGGCCAGGTGTCGCCAAGGTGGGAATCGTTTTCACCGACGGGCGCTCGCAGGACTACATCGGAGATGCCGCCAAGAAGGCCAAGGAGCTGGGTGAGTGACAGCGGCCGTCATGCCAACTGGACAACTGCTGCTTCAAGCTAGCAGCTTTATTCTCGAACGTTGTAGTGAAACTGGTTAAAATGGTCCGTGTAAATTGTGACGTGTATAAATCCAGGTCTAAAAATGTACGCCGTGGGTGTTGGGAACGCGGTGGAGGATGAGCTGAGGGAGATCGCATCAGAGCCCATCAAAGATCACTACTTCTACACTGCCGACTTCAAGACCATGAACCAGATTGCCAAGAAGCTGCACGTGAACATCTGTGAAGGTGAGGGAGCAGCAAAGGCCTTCACACACACACACACACACACACACACACACGCTGCTTCACACACACAAGCGCTGCTTCATACAAACAAGTGCTGCTTCACAAAATTTTTCTTTCTGTCTTGATTCTTTCAGAGGAGAACCCCTGTGAATGTGACTCAATCGTCAGCTTCCAGAAAAAAGTAGAAAATGCCATACAGGCATTAACAAAAAAATATATCCTTTTCTAAAGCTTTATGCACAACTTACAGCAGTACATAGTACCTGTGTGATGAGGAAAGCAAAAGTGGAATAGAAAAGATATTTTCAATAGACAAGTACTTTCAATGGTAATGCATCAGTATCAACCAAAGTATCAAAAATCTAGTAGGAGAAGACAGTAGCAGGAGGAGGAAGGGCTGAGATCTAAAGAGTGAAGTAGGATGACTAGCACAATGAGGATTGCCCATTGTGTTATGTGTGATGGGCAATTGTGATAGGGAGTCTGTGCATTCCAATGTTTCCTTGACGACAGTATCACTGGAGAGTGTAACGAAGAGGATTGCAGCACTGGAGAACAAGATTGTCTGAGCGGTGTTCCTCCATCCAGACTCTCTTCTGACCCCTCCCATTCTCTTCTTATTTGTAAACAACATACCGTAAAATATTAAAGAGAAGCATGAATTTACCCTGATTCTGCACCAGCACCCATCCGCCCATCCCCATCCATCTCTGCCCTCCGTCTGTCTCGCTAAGGAAGTAGCTTGGCCAAGATATTTAGAGGTTATCAGAGATACAGTTCACGAGTATGTTTACAGTGAAAACCAGGATATAATCATGAGGTCATCACCTTCAGCATCACCCATGGTAGCTATGGCAACACCCCTTGTCTATATAACTCCATGCATCTGTGCAAGCTGGTCACCAGGGGTAAAGCACACTGTCCACTGGCGTTTCTTCAGCTGGGTGCTCAGAGCCCACATGTGCATTAAGCAAACCCAAAATGTGAGGTGGGTCTCAAATATTTCTGCGTCTTCATCTGCACTCCTTTCAGTTTCTACTTTCTCTCCATCGCAAAGCCCTTATTTTATATGAATTATATACGAAACTAATTTAATATAAGATGTGACCTCACAACTATATGTCTTTTTTTTAAAGTTACATAGCACAGGCAAGCAGTGCAGTGCCGCAGTGTAGAGGGAGAGATGCAGTTTCTGCGTGAGACTTTTCGGTCCTGACGCCACACACTGCCAGGCGTATGCTACAGAGTCACAGCCAGTGACTTTTTTTTGGGGGGGGAGATGATGTAATTGACCTGTATTGTGACCCAAAAAGAAAGACAAGACACAGGTAAGGAGAACATTGTAGAAACATGTTTTCATGTTAGTAGATCTCTGCATAAACACCACAACACGTGACAACAAGTAAATAAAAACATGGAGGTACGACCAACCAGAGGATCAGAAATGGTTTGCCTGTGTGGTGGAAGATTGAAATAAAACTAAAACATTAATGCCAGAAATTAAAAATAGAAAGACTGAAAATAAAGACTGCTTACTTGTGTAATGTGTGTATTAATTCTAATAGCTTGTCAAAATGAACATTGTGGACTAGAATTGGTATTCTTTCGTAACACCCACGTTTTCATCAATATAACTATTCTCAAGCGGACTTGATAAAAACTAAAAAGGTTTTCTCCCAAAACGTAATGATGTAACGTCTACGCACCTGCGGCAGCGCTTAGGCAATGTATAACAAGTCTAATAAAACAATATTCTAACTGCACACAGACAAATTCGGCCTTTCAACACGATGCGTTTTATAAAATATATTTTATTCCCAATCATTACCTAATAAAGCACAAACTAACTAAATGATAACACACAGGTGATTTCCTAATACTTGGACATGATTACGTGATGGAGGGGGTTCCCTAGATCGGCTGTCCGCGCATGCGCCACCTTCCCGGAAATGCCTGCACTCTTCTGTGCTCTTCCGTAAAGCGGCGCCGGCTCCCGTCGTGACACTGAGCAGCGAGACGCCGCGCGCAGCTCCGCACACCCACCCACACCGGCAGCGTCATGACGGTCGCTCGGCTTTAGCTCCACGGAGACAATCGCCCTTTTCATTTAGTGTCGATCGAGAGGCAACAGTACGGGTTCAGCGCCGTCTTTGGTCGCTATGTTCGTTATCGCCATATCCCGAACGGCGTCTCTTGGACTTTCTCCTAATTACACTATAGCTTCGCCTGGAAGCCGGCGGGCGCCTGAGCCCAACTCCAGCTCTTAGACCCGAAACATCAGATCAGCCTGAACTAGGACACCGGCGACACAGGAGCGCTGCTGTGATGCTGGACATGATGCCGGCGACGGCGTCGGGCTGTGTGAGCGAAGCGAGCCGCCAGGAACCGGGGGACGTGCACCGGGAGGCGGTGGCCGTGCCGAGCTCCGGCAGACTGGCGCGTCTGTGCAGCAGGGACGAGAAGGAGCGAGCGGCGGCGCTGGAGGCGCTGAGCCGTGGCGTGCTGTCCTCGGCGAGCCCCGGTGCGGACGGCGAGCCGGGGCTCCAGCGGGACACCCTGCTCCACCTCCTTCGGGTGTCCAGGACGTGCCCCTTGCTGGACATCAGGGAGAGAGCGGCGGAGTTGCTGCGGATGGCGCAGGTACCGGCGGGGAGCGCTCCGGTCCGCCTTAAAATCCGGCCATTGGAAGCCCCTCAGCTATTTTAACTAAAAAAACTAGTCGGGTTAATTAACCTCAGAAAGTTAAACACCAACCCCGTCTGTAATTATGTGGGAGTCGCCAAACGAATCGCATTATTAGTGTGTTCGTAGTTAATTAATTTAAACGTGCAGCCGAGGGAGGGACTGGCAGATCTTCGCGGGCGGCGGCATCTAAACGGGCAGCGGGTCTGTAGCCGCGTACCGAAGGTTAGTCACCCGGATATAATGAAGCCCATCCCGGGGGGCGTGATGGCAGCGCCGCTGCCGGCGTTTCGCCCGGAGCTCAATTAAACGTGGCGGAAAATGGAGGATCAGTGAGTCACGGTGACCGGGCTGACCCGTCTGTCCGCCGGCGGATTGCCTGCAGGTTACATCAGAAAGGCAGGCGCCTCCGGCTTGGACATGATGCAACACGGGGCGGCTCTTTCGGGAGGTGGGGAGCGGCCGTGTGGACTCCGTCCCGGCCGGCCCCTACGCCCCTTTTGACGCGGTTATATCGGGGTCCGAAGGCTCAGGTGCGATACGCGACTTAACGCACATTCATGTGCACCTTTCAGCAGCGACCGAAGGAGAATATTCATCATCATTTAGTACAATTAGTATCGGTGTGTGCACAGTTGAAATAAAGTTACTGTGGGATTAACGTTTGCTCTATGTGCAATATGCATGGGACAGTTGGCATGACTGATATTGTGACGGGTGTGAGGTAGATATGTGGTTCTCATAGGCAAATGGCACCATCAAGAAAATCTGAGATTACATACGGTGTTTTGAATGTGGCGGTGAACATCTTCTTATTGGGCATGATTTGCGTTGTTTTATGTTCCAGGCCCGTGGTGTTGAGGTGCCTCAGGCTCTGGTTACAGGACCCAGCGCCTTTATCCCTGCTGAGGAGGTCTGTCTGTCTGTAAATCTGCTCATACCTGTGCATTAACATTAGGTGGCACTGTATGGCTGTGAGTGTGTCTGCACATTATCATTGCCTTTGTGGATGGTGATGTTTTATTGACCTTTAGTTAAATTCCATTACCTGTGTCCTAAAGTCTACACTTCTTTGTAAAATGTTCGCATTTGCTAAAATGTAAAACATGCCTGACCCCCTCCCCCCCAATCCTGGTCAGATCCTGCAGGAACTTGGTGGGCTGCCAGACCTGGTGGAGGCCTTCCTGTCCACGGGGCGTGTTGACCACGTCACCATGGTGATGGCACTGCACCCCTCCTACCTGCGCTGCTTCCTGCGTACCCAGCAGGCTTTGCTGCAGCTGGACGGACCCCTGCCCTGCCACTGGAGGCACTACATCGTCGTCATGGTGAGAGTGCCGCTCGCTGGGCACATTTCTGCTGCTTTCTGCCCCTGGGGGTGTTGATCCAGCGTCCTTGCGGGTTTTCTCTCCACATGTTACTGTGTCGGCTTCTCCCCAGCTGTGGATCGGTCATCTTGGTGTGCCTAAGTTTTTCTGGCGTTGCTCTTCTGCTGTCTGCTGGGGCAGACATAGAAGATATTAGGGAGTGTAACAGAAAGCTGAGGCCACGGAAACCCCCGTCTCCTTTGGCTGACCGCCGCCTGGCCGGCGCGGGTGCTGCTTGCGGTGGCCTCTCTGCTCCGGTCGGCTGCTGGGGAGGGACTTTCCTTCACTGGCAGCTGTGGTTTGGGTTTGCTGTGTATTCTCTCTCTCTCTCTCTCTCTCACACACACACACACAGCGCCTGCTTTGCCTGCCATTTCACAGGAGTGTGACACAAACACGTGAAAGACTTTAATTTGAATTTAATGAGAGAACAATGTGTATTGCTAACCTAGGCGGCTGTGTAGTTTTGGATGTGAGGGTATCCTTGTAGGAATCCCTGGTTGCCGCGGTAACAGTCCTGTGGTTATGCGATGCAGTATTGATACACATGTGATGGTCATGCACCTCTGTGTAGCTCTCTGTTGTGATGAGGTTCCATCCAGATGATCGAAAGGCATCTGCTATCCCTGAGATTAATCTGTATTATGGAGGGGTGGGTGGGTGGGATCGCAGGACCTCATGCCTGCGAGCCTCGTTTCTCAGTCCTCCGTGTCTCCGCAGGCCTCGGCTCGCCACCGGTGCTCGTACCTGGTGCAGCTGCACAGTGACGCCTTCCTGCAGGCGGGGGGGGACGAGCGCTGGCTGCAGGGGCTGCACTGTGTGCCCACCAAGCTGCGGCACCTCAACCTGCTGAACAAGCTTCTGGCCCACAGGCCCTGGCTGCTGGCCCAGGAGCACATCGCGGTGAGCGGGCAGCCCCAGCGCACCCCACCCCCTCACCGTTCGACTCTCATTATAACCACATCGTTTCTGATATTTTTAAAGTTTACCTGTTGAGCTCAGCATACCAAGGCTAGTTATGTTTGAAGACGGGTCCCTGATGTTATGATGGATTCACGATGGATCCACCAGCACTGGGCCGAATCAACACTGCCAAGCTGCCCATTTGCACTGCAGTGTTCCTGTTTGCACTGTCCCGCATCGCTGTGTAACTGCATTACTTGCACTGTCATTGTTCTTGTGTCAGGATCTGAAATGAACGTTTTGTCTCACCTGCCGAGGTGACAATCCACCGGCCAAGTCTACTTTTTTTACTGGCCAAAATAATAATTGCCTGTTTGTGTTACATATACATTTGTTTTCATCTTAAAGGTTGACTAACTCCTTGTAAATATCGCCACATCACTGGCAGCGGACTGCCAACAAGTGATAATTATCTGCATCCTGTGAAGACCAGCCCCTTCTCTGCCTCTGATTGGCTTTTTTTTGTTTGGCTACGGTTATTGTCAGATGGTTGGTTAGATTAGGCTTAGATGAAAAATGCCAGAGGCAATCAGAGGCAGGCTAGTGGTGGGACTTCACAGGGTGTGTGTGTGTTAGCGCGGGCGTGAGAAACTGACGGAGAATAGAAGCCAAATGCCCGTAGATCAAATGCAGCAGAGACTCAGGACAAACATTTCCCCGCCAGTGTGGCAGTCAGTCTTCTGGGATTTACTCACCAAACTGAATCTGCCTGCATTTGGTGCCTGGCAGCAGAGCTGGAAAGTTCAGGTCCAGAAAGTACGATTCCAGACCAAGGTTTTTATTTCAGCCAATCAACTTTCTGGACCTGAACTTTCCACCACTGCCTGGTGGGCATTACTTTAGGACCCTGACTAATTGTCTGCTTGTCCTGGCTGTTTGTTGCTCTGTCACAGTTCAGTTTCGTTTCGTGTGTGTGAAATCTGACAGTGACTTCACGTTTCCTGGAATCTGACAAAGCTGAAATCCACCCCCAGGACTTGGTCTGTCCCACCAGTGAGCAGCGCTGGTCACTGGCAGAGCTCATTCACGCAGTGGTCATCCTGGTCCATGCCCACTCGCTGTCCTCGTTCGTCTGGGGCTGTGGCATCAACCCTGAGCTCGACCACGTTGGGGGACACACTTTCCGGCCGCCCTCCCCCTCTGCCCACGTCTCCCGCAGCCCTGCACACGAAGCTGCCACTGAGCACCAGGGGGTGAGTCTGGCGCCCGGGGTTGGGCCTGGCCTTCGTGCCCGTGGTCCGGCGGGAGGCTGAGCTGGGCGTGTCTGTACTCTGGTTCCCAGGGGACCAACGGCGAGCATGAGGTGGAGCTGCTGATGCAGAGAATGCAGCTTCTACAGCGGCAGCAGGAGCAGGAGGAGTTCAGCCCGGAGGAGATGGTGACTCGCTTCGAGAGAGAGCGGAGCGAGAGGCTGCTGGGTCAGCTGAGCGGTGTGTGCCGTGCTGGGGGGGGGGCGACTGTGGGGCTCAGGAGCTTTAGTGTCGTTTGTACAGTGAAAGGCTGGTGTACGCACCTCCCTGTAGACTTCAGCTTTATATAACTATGAGCAGATGGCAAATATGAGCAAGAACAGTAACATGCATATAATGTCATAACATGCAAGTTGGAGCACAGAGTGCTGAGGTTAGAGTGGCAGTGTTACTCCCGGGTGTTGAAGTGCAGGTCCTGTAGCGCCTCCTGGAGGGGGGGAGGGGGAAAGCCCCAACCATCCTGCACAGTGACTTGTCGTTATGCATTGGGTACGATGCAGGGATTATTATTCATTTATTTGCTTAAATTCGTGCGTGCGTGTGTGTGTGGATGGGCCCTGACCTCCCATGTCCCGACCCCCCCCCCCCCCCCAGATGTGCCGTGCGCCCTCCCGGACAGTGTGTCCCGTTTTGTGGAGGATGCTGAATTTGCCTACCAGGACTTTGCCCCCCGCGGGGAGCAGGCCCCGCCCACACTCCGAGCACAGGTACGCTAGGGGCTTGGTGGGATGAGAGGCTGGCACCCCCGTGTAATGCCCACACCCATGTAATGCCCATCCGCATGTAATGCCCACCCGCGGCGCAAATGTTTACTTTGTGTCGTGTGTGAAACGCTGAAATGTGCAGGTTTTTTCGTGGGAGGATCACGGCTTCTCGCTGATGAACCGGCTGTACCCGGACATGGGCCAGTTGCTGGATGAGAAGTTCCAGGTGGTGTCCAGCCTGACCTATCGCACCATGGCCATGCACTGCGACGTGGACACTTCCATGCTCCGCAAGGCCGTCTGCAACTACATCCAGTGCGTCTTCGGCATCCGGTGGGTCCCTGCTCCGTGACACATCCCGTCTGACTGCGGGTTTAACGATGATGTCATACTTTATAATCCATCACTATTAATGTCAATGATTCATTTAACATTAATTCTTTAGCTCGTTACACTGCACCTATATTGACTGGTTAGGATTCCACCCAACACCCAGCTGAATATTCTATGGACTTTTACTGAATCCTCCCTCTGTGTCACCATATCTGTTCTTAGATCAGCTGCCCTGCTCACGATTATGCAGATTGATCATGGGATTTTTAATTAAAGCCACAAACACACCCAGTGTTTGTGACAGGGGGTCTGTAAGGCGTAAGATCTGAGACGCTTCTAGAAGGTTCTTTCGAGAGCACTGTCAGCCCAGCTGGCTCGTCGCCGACGCTGTCATCCTGTGCCGCTGTGCAGGTACGATGACTATGACTACGGTGACGTCAACCAGCTACTGGAGCTCCAGCTGAAGATCTACATCAAAACGGTGGCCTGTCACCCGGAGGAGACCTCGGCCCGCATGTACGCTGCCTTCTGGAGGTTCTTCCAGCACTCGGAGAAGGTGAGGCGCCTGCTGCACTCTGGCACCGTGTTTGCTCTGTCTCTCCTGTTGCAGCAAGAGCAGTTAAACTCACCAAAAACCACACAGCTGCCTGCCGCAGTAACTGCAGGCACTCATGCGGCGCTGCTCTGAGTCAGAATGGTGTGGCAGCTTTTGCTATAATGAAAACTCTCCCTCTCTCATCA